GTATCGACACTGGGGAATGAATGGCCACCTTTGCAATTTGAGTGCCAGGAAGTGAAACAGGCTATGAACGGCTCATCTGGCAATACAGGACCAAGTGACTGAGAGGGTCTAGCTCAATCACCAAAGATCCTGGACATCTGTGAAATACAGAAATGGGACAAAAATGCTTCCCGTTTCCACAAATTTTGTTTTTCCTCTGACAGAAATTACATAATGAACTTATAAATAAATGAGAAGGTTAGTAAAAGCTTTTCCATTTCTCTAGTTTCAGAAGGTAAAGAAGGAAAATTATAGGAGCACCAAACACCCACCACCATCTCAAGTTGTTCTATGTAGGGTTTGTAGGTAAGATATCAAGACAAAAATCAAGACCAGATTAAAAAAAAAAAAAAATCGTTCTTGAAACACTGACTCAAGCCTTCCAAAACACTCCAAGAAGGGTTATCCAGCACCACAGTCTGTCCTGAAGACAGTTCAACAGATCCACTAACATACCGCTCTGGGTCTGTGAGTTAAACCCGACAAATCTTAAGAGCAAATGAAAGCCACTGTTACTGGGAAGAATCTTCTAGTTACTTAATTTTTTGTAGTTTAGACATGTTACATTTTCAGAATTTGAAGGAATTTGATCATTTCTGTATGTATAAAGAGTGAACAGAAGAGCTGCTGCTTTCAATAGCGAATGGAAGAAAGACGAGTTGCTGCACTCTCATTCTGCTTTTCTGCTCCTCCCCTCCACTAACACTGAACATCATTAACCCAATCACTGACATGATCAGCAGGAAACCCATAACTTGAGGCAGGAAACCAGTTTTCAGCTAGATCAGCTCCCTGAAACAGCTTATCGTATAGTTACACAAACACCAGTGCTGTCACAAGGGACAGGGGAGACAACATGCAGCCAAGAAACAGGGTAAGACTGCAGCAGCCAAAGTTGACACTGGCATAAACTGCTATGGCACGGCACCTTACTCCAGAAGGTGATGGAGATGCAATGATATCCGGTGCAGATGCCCACTGAACACCTTATGTTTAAGATCAAACAGAAGTTAATAAACTTGTATTTATATAGGCGGTTGGACTTAATGCATGATGTTTACTGACCTTGAAACATAGAAATCTGCTGGCATATTGCTTGAGCAGCTCAATGATATGCAAGAATGAATGCAGATGTTAAGCAGCAGCACAGCTCAGTAGCCCATATCCAATGTAAAACATGCAAAAGTCCTTCCGTGGCCCAAACAAGTCACCTACTGAGTAGAAGTTAGATACACGAACTGAACTACTCAGATTTTACATAACATATCAGCTGTATATGTTAGACCAGCAATAGACTTTTTAGGCCTGGTTTCTAGCATCACCACTTACCCAGATGAGACAAGTGAGGATTGAAGTTGTTTATTTCTGTGGATGCTACAGCCCATTAGCCTGGAAAAGGATAGTACTGGGGGAAAGGCCCTGGCATCAGCCTTTTAGAATCAAATCAATAGTCTGCATCAATATTATGTCTGTAGTTTTTGGCTGTTCATCTCACACATGTGAAAGCATGAGCCTTGGATTGTTAAAGATGCCTTGAAGTTTGGGTCTTATTTAGAAAATCAGCCTAAAGCACTTTATAAGTACATTGATTTTGAGATATACAGAAATAGTAATAACTATTTTCAGAATTCATGTTAGCACAACTCGTTATTTAGAAGAGGTAAATAATGACTTGTATTCTTCCATCTGGCAGCCAACAAAGCTTATTACAAAGTTGGTATCTCAATTATACCTGATACTTTACTGATACCACAAGCCATAATAGAATCTGTCAGTTGAGCTAGCATGCATTTCAAATTACCAATGCAAATTGCTGTTATTAATTGGTGCAGGGCAAAGGCATTCAATTTCAGGATGAATAATCCTCTCCATTGGGAGGCAGAAATCAGAGTGCAATCATTTTATGCCTGAGCTGTTGGAAAGGCAGTGTTGTGACTATTACTACAAGCTGCTGTCAGTAGGACTGGAGACACTATCACTCAAACTGAAGGGTCACTCTCATTTTTCTGACAGCAGTCACAGCCATATCTTACATGATTTTATTTTTGAAATGGAATTCTAATGAGATGGCTTTCTACCATGTTTCAAGCTGTGATCATTTAAGAAAAATAAACTCACTGCATCTATTAGGTAAGCTAGATATCACGTGCATAATCATTGCACGATCCACAAAATCCCACTTCTTGCTTGATGACTTTGCATTCTGACGTTGGTTTCACACAAGCAGCTTATTTGAAGCATTCTGAATTAACATTATAACTAGTAATGGAAAAGGGGACTTTAGATCATCGCACATCTGTGATAAATGCTGTGAAGCAGAGGTTATCCTAACCCTGGTGCAGGCAACCGGTCTAGTTGCCTGTAAGCCTTGTTCTCTCTGACTTGATGTGCTTGACCAAGTGATTTGCTGCAGGTAACACTGTCATCATAGACTCGCTGCAATGACTGGGTCATCCATATTCCCTTTCCATAGGCACTTGCTTTGACTTCTCTACAGATTAGGCAGTATCTGAGTGACTACGTGGCTGACTGCCTACATCCAGGATGCTCTAGGGTTAAACCTGCCTGACTTTCTCCTGCCTGCCGTGGGCAAGGCTACCTTCCCTGGAAGAGCAGACCCAGAGCCCTCATGATAGCCTGGCCTTCCTTCTGCAGCAGAGAGGTGCATGGTTCTTTCAGGGCTTCCTGGAGTTCTGAACATTTACATTGTTTTGTGAGAGTACACCAGTATCTATACACAATTTTAAACAATATTTTATTTAAATTTCATGTATATGTTGTACCACAAGGTTACAAATTTTTCATTGCACAATGCAGTCAAACAAGTAAGTGCAATACACTATAGATAAAACAAGGAAGTAAACTACAAATATCTATAGTGTGGTGGAATCAGTCATATAGAAGTATTATCCATATCTTTAAGAAAAGGAATATCTTTTTAATCCATGCCGTAGTATGGAAAAAAAGGTAGAAATTAGCAGGCAGGAAAGGGACAACACAGTAGAAAGAAAAAGGCTGGAAGGAATAAGGAAGCATCTTACATTTCAAATATGTAATGAAGGTACTTATCACAGTACTAATTCTGTGAAAAGAGACCGTGGATGGCAGTTTTCCAGTGGCTTATGAAACTATTAGCAGAAGTACTGATGGGAAGTAAAATATTTGCCCTATTGAATCATTTTACCAGTAAAACAAGTTCCGACGCCAGTCAAGGAGTATGAGGAAGGCAAGACTTCTGAGTCAGTGCAGTAATTCCCTAGTGTAGATGCATAACCAGGATAAGTATTTATTGAGAAATTGTTCTTAAAAACTTGGCTTGTATGCAACTAGGTTATTCAAGATGATTTGTAAAGAATTCAGTAAGTGGCATAAGTATATTCAGAATATACTTATCAAGGAGACCACCTTATCAGGAGAAGTAATGAAGCTTCATTTTGAAGCAATAAAAGAATAGTCTTCTTCCAGAAACCCTACTTGTACATGGAATGCAGAAATGGATGGCAGGAACAATCTCAAGTGACTCTAGAAAACAACTGACTTGCTGTTTCCATTCTGTTCATCCTTAGCCTTGTCTTTCAATTGTTAAATACTTTGTGTGTTTAGAAACGCTGTCCTTATATCAATTACTGGACTTATATTCTGTACTAGGGCTAAATTCTGTAAATATCACATCGGTAAATAAAAGGACATATCATGAGATAAAAATCACAATTAACAGCAATTATCATAAGGTGGCATTTACCAGCAAGCACTGGGAAATGACCCTACAAAGATGTAGTGCTGCCATCTTACAACTTCATCATGAATCTCAGGATATTTGATTAAAATTCCATGTTTGAGCCATATTAGCCTACCAAGAATAGGCCTATCACAATATATGCTCTTCTGTATAAGAGTAGCTTCTAACCTCACATACCTTGTGTATTTGAAAACGTGTTCCAACAGCTGAAAGAGCAGATTTATAATAAAAAGATTTCTTTCTAATCTCATGCCTATGAATCCTTTGACAATAGTCCGATTTTAGCCAGCTAAAATAAAAATAGAATAATAGAATTTGTTATTGATAAGGATCACTGTTTAAATGTGAAAAAGATTTTCACAAAGCTGTGGCACATTCTAACAAAGTTTTTATTTAAATATTCACTTTATACTGTTCAGACTGCAATAAAAATATCAGAACAAGATCTCTACCCTCCGAGTAGCCAGAATTCCTGCTTTGTCCTGGCTTATTCTTGCTCCCAGCTTCATGAACATGCAGCAAACAGCAGTCCCCAAACAGAAAAGTATCTACAATATGTATTGCCAGGGCAACTCTACCTGAATGAAGACACCTACCCTCCACCCTTCAGTAACTCTCCAGTTGCCTACTGTCCTGGTCATGGTCCAAAGATAAGAGTTTAGTACTGCAGGATGGATCCCTAAAGCTAGTGGCAGGCATGAAATCTGAATTGAAATAGTCACGTCATCCATCTTGTCATCTTAAAAAAAAAAAAAAAGACCAAAACAAAATACCACTCTTCTACATATACCAGGGGGGTGGTCTTCTCTGACTAAGCCATCGACTGATGATGGAAGTCACATGATTTAACAAGAAGTAATATCTGAAAACATCTCAGTACAGCGGTCTTAATCATATTCTCTAGTTCCTGTGTGGAACTGCTGATTCTGGACTCCCAATATTTATACCAAGTGCCACAATACGGGTACCAAAACCATGTGTCATGTATTAGAGAATTTATTCATTAGCTGTGAATACTTTCCTGGTTTAGCCAAGATGACATAGAATTTATCACTTCAAATTCTAAATGCTTTTGCTACACCATTTAAAATCTACAGTAACTTTCAAGTATGAAGGTGAATTTATAGAAATTATATCCAAAAATTTGCCATAGCTTTACATTAACAAAACCCCAAAAAAGATAACTAGTTGCATTGCAGAATACTCCATATCTCTCTCTCTAGACTCCATAGGTCTTAGGATTCATAATATAGTATTAAATATGATACAATTACAAGTGTCAGACTAAAAGGTTGTGCCACAGAAGGAAATCCAAAGGACTTGGCTGTCTGAAGCCGAGGATTACGTAGGTCTAGGCGACAGGAATTTTGTACCACTTCTTGCGGAATTTCACTTTCACCTACATCCATTAGTCCACTAATGGTCCGCACCTAGAAAAAGTCAAAAGGTTGCCTATGAAAGCCAGACTGGCACAACAGCAAAAAGCTTTATGCAGCTAGCAAATTCAATGCTATTTCAAGTGAACCAACTCAAACTGTACTGCAAAACAACATCCGAGTGTGAGGAAATCAACATCATTATCCTGATGTTTGCATTCCTATGAAACACTTCCCAGAATTCAGTACAGATACATTACAGGCAAGAGTCACAGGTCTGGCTGTTCTTTGTCTTAGCTCCCTCCACATATGGGGATGCATTTGCTGGAAACCCTTAAGCAAACTCATGAGCTTTCTTCCCTGAAGTCAGCTCACAGTCTCAGGACAGAGCTTCAAACATCTCTAATTTAGAAGGAAAAAAAAATTACTAAATCTCACAGATCAGTTAGGTGTGATGAATTTCAGCCTCTTCATAATGTCAGTCTGCCACACGTGAAACTCAGCATTAGGTAGATATTTTGGCAGATTAACTGGAACAGTACAAAATTCCCTGATTTCTGTTCATCTAACATACCCCAAAATGGCAACTGGAAAAAACATCATTGTGAAATATATGTTGTCTATAAGGCTTTGTGTATAATATCTACTTACTTACCCCTGTAAATAAAAATGGTAGGAGGCAAGCAGCTCGCAAGTTTCAACAGAGGCTTTTGAGAAAATTACCATTTAGGGGGTCCTTACTCTCATACAGTCTCCTGCCTTCCCGTCTCTCTTCCCTCATCCTTCTGGATTAGCTTCTACCATTTACACTTAAAGCTCATTGTGATCTAGTTGTTATGTTTACGGCTTGTTAGTGATCTGGTCATGGCAGGAGCCTTTTGGATAGCAGCCCAATCCCATGACAAGAATTAAATTGCTTTGCAAGTCAGCATTCCTTACTGCACCAGTGAACACAGCCAGACTGTGACGCTGGTACGTCCACAGTTTCTCCAAACCATGAAGTGATTCCATTTGGAAGTCAGTGATGTGCACTTATCAGATCACCACAGAGAGAAAGTTTCAAAGAGCTCTGTCCACTCTCTCTCTCGCTTTCCTTTATTCTGCTAACACTCTCTTGCCATCTTGGTTTCTTGCCCAGCATTTGGAATTGTTGCATTAAGTGCTTACATTCCCTCATAGCTCTCTCATTGAGAGGAGAAAAAAAAAAAAAAAAACCAAAACAAACACCAACCAGCAAGGCACCAATGGTTCCTCCCTCCCTCTTAGTAAGAATCAAGATTCAGTTTAGTTGTTCATCTTACCTTTTCCACTTCCCTGAAGACACGGAGAAAGTTCTCCCGTAAGACCCCTCTCAGTTCCATTTCATTCCACCCTCTTCTAAGAAGTTCCTCAATCAAAGAAGGGTATTTAGAAACATCTTCCAGTCCCTCAGGGAAACTGTTGGCGAGAGTCACACAATAACATTCAACACACATCACTGAAAAAATGTAGAAAAAGATTTTTAATTAGTCTTTTGCACATATTCCCTTTTGGAATGAGCTCACTTTGGACCCAGTTCTTCCTTGGAGAAGTTAAAAAAATAAATTAAGAATTCAACTGACAAACAAAAGCAGGACTGGGACAAAATGAAAGGCTTTTTCTACACAGAGGATCCTATTAGCAGAACAAAACTGTGCATTCTGGAATGAAGATGCACTTGTGTAGAGGCAGAACAACGGCAAGGAGAATATTAAAACTAGAGAAAAAACCTCCAAACTCATGTATGCATTAATCCACTCTTTATATCCGGCTTTTAGAGAAAGAGGAAACAGCTGCATCACAGATAGAGTTGGTGCAATCCACTTGTGTAACTTTTGTTGTGTTCTCAACAAAAGGGAACCTGCAAGAACCTGATGAGCTAAGGAGTTGAAGGCAATTTTGTGTACTTGGTTATTTACCAAGTCATTTTTCCAAAGAAAATACAATCAGAATAATAATATTGTTTTGAATCCAGCAGTTTAGGTAGTGAAAAAAAGAGCTATTCAGAACCCTCTACTGAATAAGCAAAAACTCTCATGGAAGCTCACTGGAGTCAGTTGGCAGCCGGTCACGAGTCATGTTCCCCAGGGCTCAGTACTGGGGCTGGTCCTGTTCAGCATCTTCATTGATGATCTGGACGAGGGGATCGAGTGCACCCTGAGTAAGTTTGCAGATGACACCGAGTTGGGTGGAAGTGTCGATCTGCTGGAGGGTAGGAAGGCCCTGCAGAGGGACCTGGACAGGCTGGATCGTTGGGCCGGGACCAACTGTATGAGGTTCAACAAGGCTCAGTGCCGAGTCCTGCACTTCGGTCACAACAACCCCATGCAACGCTACAGGCTGGGGGAGGAGTGGCTGGAGAGCTGCCTGGCGGAAAAGGACCTGGGGGTGTTGGTCAACAGCTGCCTGAACATGAGCCAGCAGTGTGCTCAGGC